AAGTTAATTTTTTTGGAAGTCAAAAATTAATTTCTCATTATTCATGCGCTAAAAATAAGTCCAAAAACAGATTTACAAAACAGTTAAATCAAATTAGAATCATCGATACCGTTTAACATTCAATGAAAGATCTATTAAGGGAAAGTGCTTAACTTAGAGAAAAGTAATAAGGATATCTTTCTAATAGTGTTGTTCTTGGTAATTCCCTACCATGTAACTTATTATATTTGAAAAAGTATGACTTAAACATATGAATAAAAAAATTGAGTGATCCTGAAAGGTTAGGTTAATAGAATCAACTGTTGAATGCCAATGGAAATAGTGTTGTTTTAATAGCAGAAGTAGTGTAAACGGATGAAAAAGGAAGAGTGAATAATGATTTTGTTGAATTAATGAGACAAATCTCTGATTACAACAGCAATGACGAATGACGATAGACACCCCATATATTTCCCGATGTTTCCCCACACCACACTCCTGCTCCTCCTTTTCGCTCAATTAAATGTTGACTTTATGCTACGCCTATTAAAACGTCTCTCTGCTGACAATTTCTCTGCTACGGCCTTTATTATCTAAAATGCATTTCTGTGATCATAAGAGAGAAAATTTCACATTTCACATTCGAATATAATAAAATTTTAATTCCATCTCTCATTCCTTTCATATATGTTTCACATTGTCGTCTCCATTGGTTTTTTTCTTTTTTGTGTTGATTTTTGTAATTGTGAATCATAGATTGCAATCGGATTCCTCAAATGTGAATATTATTCATTAAAAAAATCGAATTGAAATCTCATTCTTTATTGGTAGACCTATTGATCAGTGAGATCAGGACATATATCAATTTAGATAAACCTTTTTATTCATTGTAACACATAATGGCTTGAAAGCTACTACTAATCTTAATCAAATCCAATTATGGCTTTTAATTGTAGGAAGGAAAGCAACTTTTTATAAAACAAGCTCAAGGAAAAAATATGTATTATTGATTTCATCAAAATAGAATTTCTCAATTCAACCTGAAAAGCCGTAGTGTTTCGGATGTGTGAGTTATATCCTGTCATACCTGATATAATTGAAATATCACTGGAATTACCAAACCACTTTACACGATACATTACCAGGTGTTGTTATAATTATTCATTGGTCATTCTTAACAGTTTTTCAAAGTTATGCAAATTTAATACAAAGCGCATGACTTACTAAATATTACAACAATACTTTCTTTTTTTTGAGAACCCTGCAGTGTGCTATGATATGTATCTACTAAACTGAATAAATATAATTTGAGGATATTTGTTGGAATTTTAAAGCTTGAGTTATGTTGATAGAAGCAGTATGCGCATTAAAGCTAAAGAGATAAAAAGTTTGTTCTCAAACTAACGGCATTGATTGTAAAGTAATATCACTTTTGATAATATTTCATAAGACATGCAAACATGCTTTTATGAAAATTTTTTTATTCTAATATTGTTAGGTTATAATTCATTCACAATAAATTTTTTTTACTAAAATCTGCACGATTTGTGAAAAATACACTGCGTAGTATCATATATAAATATGCATAAATTGGTGAGTGGTATCAAAGATTAAATAACGATAATATATAATTAATTTCAGAGAATATGTTTCTTGATCCTTCTGCATTCATCATCAAGTTCAATATGTTATCAAAGTCAGCGCATCACCAAGGTTAACATATAGTATTGCCGATGTTATTGTCTTTTCTTGAATTATCTCTCTCAACTTATAAATGCACTTCATTAAAGCAGTTTTTTGGTATTCATTAGTATCATTACTTTTGGATCAAGGAATTTGAGAAGAAATTGGTGCTTTACTTCTGATTTCAGCTCTCTTTCAACTATTAAAGCGTGCGCTTAATTCAATTCAGGAATAGTTATACAGCTCCAAATTTAAGAAAAAAAATTTGTATAACCAACCGACAATTTTTCAAAATACCACTTACTTTCAGCAACTTTAAAACATTCTCATCCAACAAATTAAAATGGTTTTGTTTTTTGAACAGGATAATGCTATTTCCAAACAGAATTATTCACTAAATAAAATTTGTAAAGCATGGAATTATTTCATAATATCAAGGAAGAGGTAAGATCATCTATCATCAATTGTTATCATCAAAAACTGATTCACTATCAGAGATCAGTTTTGCCAGATGTAATTAACAAATAAATACTTCCGTTTGACACACAAATGAATGCATACGGAATCAAAAGCGCATAAAGATTAATACAGTTTCAGAGTGATTGTCCGAAGTGAATCCATTGCATCGCAAGAACATCGTCTCAGAATTTACAGTATGACGATATTTCGAGCTGCATTATGGACACAATGGCAATTTAAAACGATACGGTAGGTGTAATTGCGGATGTGCATGCGTATCTCTTGCTAAAGAAGTATTGAAAGCCATTATTGAAAGAGATTCATTTTCCGTCAATCATTTACTGAGACGATGCCAAAAAGACTTTAATTTTTTACTATCGAAAGCAGAAATTACTACTTTTTTTCTGTTTCAGTTCGTCCGTTTTAATTGACTGTTTAATTCTTTCCTTTTTTTCTCTCTTTCTTCCTTCCCAAATAAGACATATGTAAAGGGCATCGATGGCCTATAACCCGCAAGTAAACTGGCAACTAAATGTTCCTTAATTGCCCAGAACCAATCATAAACTGTAACCCAACACCCATAACGACCTCAATCCAACATTTGTAACGACCTTCTTTCACTGTTTCCTTTAGCATTTCCTTAATTTAGCTTTTTTTTTTTAAATACGAGAAACACCCTTACAACAGAACCACCTCCTCTACAGATTGTTTCGGTCTTTTCGATGGAATTTTCGTCATAAAATCTTTGCAATGCATACATGATCTCAGCAAGAGACAGGAAAATATTCTCACTTTCTGGTCCTTGTATCTTCCAATAATTCTTCCGAAAATGGGAATTACCATTTCCCAAATTCTTTTCTCTGTGAGATTTTCAACATGTTTTTCTATTCAAAGTAAATCATACATTTATTTCATTCATATGAAATTAGCCAAAAGATTTTCTCATATTAATGGAAAGGACAAAACTTCCATTATTCTTCATACGTTAATTAATTATTTTGGTGTTTTTTGCTAGTTTTCAGATTAACACTAACGTACGAAGCTATTTTTGGCTATTTTTTTTCAAATTTTCTTTCAATTCAAGCTATTGAGATTATTGAGAAGTTCAATTATTAATTCATTCTTAACCGTTATGCAATTCCATATCAAACAAAGTCGAATGAAGGCTTCAAAAGAGGCTAAAAAACTAGCCTTCACATTTTTCTTTTAGTTTACCACTTGGTAAAGACTTTAAAGCTCCTAAAGACACATTCTCCCGTCCACTTCACTGATATATCCAGTTTGAATTAATCTTTAGTCTCATAGCGGTCTGAACGAGTGAATGACAGGCTACTTTTCCACGCGACAAATTCATCTCTGACATTAACAGTTATGCAAACTTCAACTGCTTTTATCATACTATCTATTTTTTAACAATCTGCAAGATTAGGAAATTTCTAGAAATATGATAAATGTGATGACAGCAAGTGTTTTGCTTATCTCTGTTTCCCCATTTTGTCAGTGATAATTTTTTCCTTTTAGTCTGTTATCCGAATGGGCTTTCCTTATCATGCCGTCCCTTCTAATATATTTTCGAAATAATTCATTTAGAATAAAGTGATGCAAAAAGCCTGCAGATGGAAAATAACTAGCTTAATTTCATAGGACAAAATAAGCAATTTTGGTCTTGAATCAATTGAATCTCTCTAATTAACTTGAAGAAAAATTCGATAAAGGCTAAAAATTAGAGTAAACATTACTAATATATCCAATTGATTTAAAAGATTTCTCAACTTGCATAATACACTATTAACTTTTCGCGTAAAATTCAGTTGTTATGGTCAGTGTTTGAAATCTAATTTTTTCGATTCGCTAATTTTTGCTTTTCATAAAACATTGAAGGCCAAAGAAGGTCAGGAGCTTCAACGGCAAATAACAAGCAGATTAAAATTATTAATTATCTACGTGAGTGATCATAAAAATAATAGTGTCAATCGTTTGCGAAAACATAAAATAGAACTATGACATCTCCACTTCCACTTCATACATATCAACAAGCATTGAAAGGTTTTTGATCTTTTGCATCGATACTGAATTGAACACGATAATATGAGCATTTATATACATATAACAACTCGATTTTCTACTCAGAACGTTCCTCTTCATATTTCACTGTATCATCTTTTATGCTTTCTATTTGAAACGACAAAATTGGGAAACATTTAAAAAATTGAGAAATAAAAACGAAAGAATTGCGATATCGAGAATATTGATGCAATGATCCATAAATGGCTGCTATTAACAAATACATTGAGTCCAGTTTCGTTAAAACGAGTGGTTGCTTGAAAGAATGAGTAATAGAAATAAATTGATTGTTAATTAAGTTAATTGTTTCAATGGAAGTCCATATTATTTGCTTAGGTAAAACGGCAGTTGTTGTTTTTAATATGTATACTTTAACTACATGTTGTAACTTCATTTTCTTTAATAAAATTTTGAATTGTAATACTCTTTGTTTTTTTTAACCTTGTTATTCATTGCTCATGACATGGAGTATGAGATACTGTGTCAGACAAACATGTGATTTTTTATGATAGTCTATTACTGGATTTTAGTAAAGTACATTCAAAGTTCCATAATTTTATATAAAATCACTATCAAAGTTTGGAGTACTAACTTTTATTTCACATTTTTTCTTTCCCATTCAATATAATAGATTAAAAAAGATGAAAAAGTGAGTTATTATTCAAAAAATTGGCAAGGTGCCAGTCGGTTTGAAGCTGATGAATTCACTTATGATATGCTTTATCTCAACTAATGCTTATCATCTTTAGCCGTGTATTTAGACCGTATCATTTCTAGATTTATTTTGTTCTGATTTTGTACCAGTGTTTCCTGTTATGTCCATTGCTACCATATCAACCAATAAATTACCGTTCGCTATCCAGACTATTCTGGGCAATGATGATAAACAGGGCAAAATTTCCGAATGGGAGCAACCAGTTTGCGAAAGTAATCTTCCAAGAAAAAATTGCGACGTGGGATGTCTACTTCAATATCCTATCACTTCTATAGTTCCATATCACTTTCCTTATCAAAGTATAAAGACTGCATTCGAAGTTACATCTCCACTCCCATCTATTAATCACTCTAAATTTGTCCATAATTCGCTATTAACTTGCACAGAAATTCAGAATTATCCTCGCTATAATAATTTTCCTTTTTCTGCACAATATTCACCGATACGATACGGATTTGCCTCTACTTCGGTAACTATGTCAAATCGATTTACTCAGTCCAACAAATTTAATAACTTGTCCAGTTTATCTGACGTAAAATCTGAAAAGTTGCCTGATAATTGTTTAAATCAATTGTGTTTTCCTTCTAATTCTGACTTATTTGATTCGAAAATTATAAAAACTACTGATAACAACCAAACTGTATCACATATTAATTTAAATTACGAACATGGTGGATTTTGTTCCGATAAAAATCCTTCATCTTTTCCAATTGTTATTGCATCTCTTGGATGCACAACTATAAGTAGTATAGGAAACGATTCAGTAAAGGCACAAAAAACGAATCAGCGAAACAGCCCTACGGTACCACAACGTATCGGACATTCTTGCCAGAGTCTACCAAGACACAAGAAACCGCGTACGTCTTTTACCAAAAAACAGGTTTGTTTTCAATTTAGTGTTATACATTTCATTATTTCAGTCTTCTCATATCTTTTTAACAAAAACATCTTATAGAATTTCTTATAGTTATCTTTTATAATGCTGTCTTTTCGATTCATGCGCAAAACATCACCCTACGGGACAGAAATGACAGTAAGTGAACAATATCAATGCAAAATAATGCATTCTCAGAAACTGGTAAAAGATTTGCTTGTCATTTTCTAATCTTAAAAAAAATCTCAGCAAGAAGCGCCAGACTAAATTATTAGATAGTTTTAATAACTTCTCTCACTAAAATAATTAATTTGTTGTATTATGCAAATTTATTCCGTTTAGTGCTCTCAGGTTTAATATTCATTTCGTATGTATTAATTGTGCCAATTACATAAGCATATTATATGAATATTCCTTATCCTGTTGTCATTTGTCACTTGCATGCATTATAATTCAATATTCTTTAACTTAACCGGTATAATATCTTCAAATGGTTTTATCTCAATTTCTTTCAAATCTTCTGTTCTACTTAACTGATCCATTAACTCAACCGGAGCTTTCATATCAGTTACATGTTCCTCCTCTGTACTTGGTTCTTTGGAGATTACTGCACCATACTCTTCGAAAACTTCTTTAACCGGTATAATATCTTCAAATGCTTTTGTCTCAATTTCTTTCAAATCTTCCGTTCCACTTAACTGATCCATTAACTCAACCGGAGCTTTCATATCAGTT